ACGTCCTAAAATGCTACCACCAGCTTAACTATGAAGGCAAGATGCTGAAAGATCCTGCTCACAGGGGACAGACGAACACAGAAGAGCAACGCTAAAAGTACCAAACAGTGACTCTCTTTCTCCCTCCCTGAGAACTCTCAGAAGCACCCAGTCCCCCGGGAAGCCCCACTCTATAGTGTAACCACACAGCAAGGGCAGCCTCGATGGTGCGGACAGGGATCAGGTCACAGAAACCAAAAAGAAACTCAAGAATGAAGATAGTGTGGGAAAAGAAAGTGCAGCATAATACAGCCTTAACCTCTGGAAAGACGAGGGAAGCCATTACAACCCTTAAACAAGAATAGGATGCTATCAAAAGGAACGTTCAGAAAATATGGAAGAGCTCTTAGAAGGTAAAGATAGGATAACCAGGAAATTCAGTAAATAAGACTAGAAGTGGTAGAGTACTTGCCTACCGTGTGCAGAGCGCTGATTTCAACATCTGAAACCACACACACAAAAGAGGGGGCAGTAAACAGAAGATAAAAGCTGAGGTTATTTATTTAAAAAATAAAAAAGCTGACAAAGCAGAAAATAATGCATGGAAATGCAAAATAGGAGAAACAATTAGAGGATCAGCCTCAGTCCTATGTACAAATGTTGGAGTTCCACAAAGGGGAAAAGCAGAAAATAAAATTACCAAAGAAATAATTCAATATTTTTTTCCAGAACTCAAAATAAACATTTTCAAAGTAATAATAGCTCAGTGAGTACCCATCAAACATGAAGACCCATGTCATGGGACATAATAGGAAATTTTCAGAATACCAGAAACAGAGAGTCCAGAAATGGACAGAATGTAAGTGTAACAGTTTAGGAAAAATAATATCAAACTTCTTAGCTGCCCTTCCAAATGGAAATCAAAACTGAGCAATGCCTTCAAATGCCGGGAGAAAATATATTGAATCTAAATGTCACACCTAGCCATACCTATGTTCAAGTTTAAGTGGACAAGTAAAGAAGAAGAGACATTTAAAGACAGGAAAATTCTCACAAAAAAAAAAAAAAAAAAGTGGCCCCCATGAAGCTTTTCTCCCAAAATTACGAAAGACGACTGCCATAAGCAATAAAGATGTAACCAGGAAAGAGAAGACATGAAATCCAAACAATAAGGAATCCATCCACGGGAGAAGCAGGGAAATTCCCAAAATAAGGATAAAAGAAAACATGGACCAACTCTAGACAAAGCAGATCTAGAAAGCAGCTAATCAGCTTAGAAAAGAAGGTTCGTGTAACAGTCCATCACCACTGGATGTGCTGACGTTGTGGAGAGGAGATGAGCAGTTCTGACCCAACTGGAGATGGCCTTTAACAAAGACACAGAAAACTAAAGAAAAAATAGGTAATTAATAAATTAAGAGGAAGGGGAAAATGGTTACATCAGAAACAAAATGTAACAAGTACACTGACTAGCTCAGCTAGGAATAATAAATAGTGAGACTACTGTATAGATCAAATAATAATTAAATTAGTAATAAATGGTATTAATATTTAATATTAGATTAATATATTTAAAATTATTAATAATATTGTTAATATTTAATTATTAGATTGAATTAATAATCACTCTAAATTTAGTGGAAAGAAAGAAGAGGAAACTATGTGTGTTTGTTTGCATACACGTGACCTTATTTTTGACTAGTGGGTGAGAGGTAAAAAATAAAATCAATAGATTTACTTCATAAAACTTGAGATGAGAGCAGTTAAAAGAATCTCTATTATTTATGTATGTATTAAAAAAGCATTTTTAAATGCCAATTAAACTATACCATGCCATCATTTGTAAGACTTAAGGATCTCAGAAGTATTAAAGTGAGGAGCTGGTATCGATCTAGCAACATAGCAGTGTATTATTTTCTGAGAAAGAGCTAACCGAGTACAAACCCATTCTCTCTGAAGAACAGGAACTGAGGCGGGGAGGCACTGAACTGGTTGTGATTTTTGTTATGATGCATGTGGAGCTGGTTGACTTTTTTAAATGGTATGTGTGTAACTTTGACTAAAAAGCAAATTTTAAATAAATGAGTAAGAAAATAGTGTGTAACACAACCTTTAATTAACAAAAAAGAAAGACCAAACTTTCTTGGCTCCAGTAATGTTCATGGTGCTGGCAGAAGTAGTAGCCAGAATATCAGTACTTGAACCCAGGGCCCCATTTTCCAATGAGAAGGGTTAAGTTGATAAGTACAGTAGTTTGCATGTCAGAAAAAGAACCATATGCTTGAGGACCCAAATTTTTTTAATATTTTTATTATGGACAAACATGCTTAACATAAAAATTTATTATGCTAACTACCCTTAATTGTAATTCAATAATTAAATCTTTCATAATGGGTAGTAAATCAACCCAAACTTTGCACCATCAGGAGATATTATTTTTTGGGTTGAATTGTTGATTGCTGGTTACATGAATGGTTATACTGTCCAGCTTACTGGACAACAAACAGATCTGACCTCTGCCCCCAAATAACATTTCTCAATCCCATCACTACTGACACATTAAGCTGGGTAATTTTATGTTTGGAGGCTGATTGTATACACGATGGTATAATTAACAGCACCCTTGGTCACCACCCAGTAGCACTGCCCCCCACTCAGACAACTATCCCTGTGGAGACAAAATCTCCTCTAGGTGGGAATGATCATCCCAGAGAAATCCTATCTCTGACCTCCAAGGCCATTCATGCTACAAACATCCTTAAAAAGACAGCAGGGAACAAAGGCAGGCAGTAGTGAGTGGTCCACTCTCAAGAGTTGCAGAGACAAAAGCAGGCCACTGAGTGGGCTTTTTTTTGTTTCATTTGTTTTCCCCAGACCACCTCTATTTTGAAGTTAGGCAGCTCTGCAATCCAGTCCCATTTCCCCTATCTCGTGGCACAAATTAGGCAAGATAATTCACTTCTATGAGTTTACTTTGTTTAGATACACACACACATACACACACATGTTGAATGGGGATAGTAAGATCTCCCTGTCACCCTTGTGTGACACAGTCACAACACAACACGCAGTGCCCGACACTCAGGAGGCACTTAGCAAATCCTACCTACTGTTCAATGCAGAACACCATTGGACCAGGTCCCTTGGAGCTGGTTTTACTACACGGAGCCAGTGAGATTTATGCTAGTTTCTTCACACACTCACTTATTTTTCACAATACTTACAACATACCTGCTTGGAGTAGAGAGCAAGGGTCAGTAGAGAAGAAAGGGCTCTGAACCTGAACCTTCTAAGCACCTTATGCCAGCAAATGAAGCCAACCATCCCAGTGCTATTATCAACAGAGTCAAAGAAGGAAGTGACTCTGGTCCTTTGTTACCCAGCTTTATTTCTTCATCCTGACATCCATGTGTTGATACTGCCATAGCCAATTCATTCTCAGACTCTTTTGTATGCTTGTGACAAACTCGCATTTGTAAGAACCAAGATCTACACACACGCACGCGTACACACACACCTACACGCACAAGGATTATCAGAGATCAGCTCTCCTCCCAACTCAGCAAGTTTATAAGCAAACAAATACCTCTCTCAGATTTTGCAAGTTGTTTACTAAGTGATTAACAGAGAGATTTTTCTTTTACTAATAATACTATGATTCTCTCTTGATAGTTTGACTTTGGAATATAAATTAATCTTGGTTTTTCTATAGCTATTAAGTGTTGTATACACTTGATGATTTTCCTTCTTTGTCTTAAAACATAATATTTAATTATAACTTCACAGAAGACTTAAAATTCTGTTTTCTCTCAGGAAAACTATCTAATAACTGGAATTTATGAAAAACTATTAGTTAGAGCAAATCCCACAAAATAAATTGGATTTTTAAATCTGTGATTTTTAGCACATTAGGCTTTTCACCACAAAGGCGATGCTTGCAGAAAATGCCTGAGGAATAATCAAGCAGCCATCTCGCTGCTACCCTGCTAAGATAAATACAGTTGAGAAGATCATCTATGAAATTTGGTGGATTATGAAATTTGCTTTTAGAAAAGGAAATATCACATAATAGTCAGAGGACAAGTGGCAATTCTCAGTGACTTCCCCCATTTCCCTAGTCTGGGATTGTCATTTCTCCCTCCTCACCTCAACTCAAATCCCCCACCTAGAATTGTAAGAAAGCTCATTGAATTGTGCTTTAAAAAGAAAAACAGAAATGACTTAATTTTTGCATCTTTTAACTAGAATGACTGCTACTTAATTCCTCATATAAATGCATACGTGCTACAGAAACACACATACCCACTCCTCAAAGTACAAAGCTCCTGCTGGGTGTGTTAGTACATGGTTATAATGCCAGCACTCTGTGAGGGCAAGGCAGAGGATAGCCAATACAAAAGTCCAGCCAGGGCTTAGTGACTTCCAGAGACTTACAGAGATTCCATCTCAAAATAAAATATAAAAAGGACTGCGGATGTAGGTTAGTGTGAGGGTCCTGGGTCCAACACCCAGTACTGAGAAAAAAGTACACTGTTCCACTGATCTAAGAAAGAAAATCAATACACATCTAGCAAATATTTGAGTTGCATTTATATAAGCAATTCTTGTGTGAAAAAGAAATGCCAACAACAATTTCAACTGCTCTAAAGGAGAGACTGTGATAGCATTTCTTAAAATGCTCTTCTAAGTGAAAGGCCTTTTTTTCCAGATAAAAACCACAAGCCAATGCCCCTTTTTGTATCAACTATCTCCCCTGCATTTCACACCTAACTCCACCCCCATCTTGCTCTTCAATGCAATTTATTACACCAGGCCATCTTTTGCATTAAAAAAAGTAGACCTTCCAATGGGTGTTCTTTGTAATACTAGGAAGAGCTGTGGGGTGTTGTATTCTGTGTTTAAGGTTCCTGAGTGGTCTGGCATCTTAGAGGGCTTAACAGCATGTGGCAGGTAACTCAAAACTTGAAAGACGACCAGCAGTCACTGGGTTTCACACATATGTTCAATGGCACGGAGATTACCTGGTCGACTGGAACTTCAACCTGAGTCTCTTCATCTTCTTGGACTTCTGCTGCCCCCCGCATTTCAGACCTCTCTGCTCCAGCTTTGAAAATGCCTTCATCTATTTTTGGAGACAAACACACAGTGAAAAATGGAAATCCAATTGTGACATCGTGTGGCTGCATCGTGAAATTACAGCCCAACACCTAATGGCTATTTTTCAGTAGTATTTAAATTCCCCTTAGGTGACAGGATTTGCATATCCCCTAATCCCAGTTCTTCTACGTGTTCACCGAGAAAATGTTTAGGGGGAGCAAAATAAGGTTGACTGAGCAGAGCAGATTTTTGGTAGAACCCTGCTCACCCCGTAACTACAGAATTAAAATCACACCCTGAAAGGGGCTAAGATGGGGACTTCACAGCCAGGGTCTCAGTGCTCTTCCCCTGGTCCTGGACTAGCAATGATACATGCTGCTTTAAAACACTACTTTCAGAAATTTTCCCTTCCCAAGAGGATGCTACATGTCCATCATGCGTTCGTTGCAAAAGAATCATGGAGCTGACCAAAAAAAAAAAAAAATCATTATTTGTTTTGCAGATTTCTACCAGATTTTCACAACCTATGACTTCAAATCCTTATCTATAAAATATAAATTAAATCTCCAAGACTTTAGATTAAGCCCCTTCACCTCTTTCCTTCAGAAAGCAATAATCGCTGCATTCCATCTTTGAAGTAGTTCTAATGTCTTCCCTTGCCCTCTCTTCTCCCGGCCACGTAATCAAAGAATCACAGGACTGTCTGTCATTCTGTCTATCCACTTGCCTCTAGACAGGTTTAACGTCTCAGCCATCCTCACAAATGTTTTTGCTGTCCAATTTTTAAGGTTTTCCAGAGATGGGGATTTTACCTCATTCCCTAGTAATCTATTAAGTATTTGATTACCCCTGTGGTCTAGAAGGTGTGTTTTTTATCTTTTGTTTTAAAGTCCCCTCTGTTTTTGAACAGAAGTGTGTTTCCTAGAGCACAGTTAGTTAGCATACTTTACACGATATTGCTATAGACATGAAAGCACCTCTTATTAAGTACAAAATGTGTTAACATGGGTTAGGGAACAACTACATGTAAGGCACAGTGTGAGTCGAGTGATAAGAGTCTGAGATGTGGATGAGAAGCAGACTGTTTCCAAGCTGCTGACGGTCCGATGCGATTGGGTGAAACCACCACCGCCAAGCAGTACCCAGAGAGAGTTGTAATGGGTAAAGGGTATTGCAGGCATCACAGGAGCTAAGAAGATGCATCCAGGTGAGGAAGGAATGAAAGGAGACGGAGAGAGGGAAAGATAGGAGGGAGGGAGAGAAAGTAGGCGTGTTTGGCTTCATTTCTGCAATTACCTTAGAAGCCAACAATTGTTGCCAGACACTGGCCGGGGCAGACTGCAGTCATGGCTTCTTATACAATGACTTTGTGGATGGCGTGTTGGCACAGAGGAACCTACAGATATCCCAGGATCACGTTCCTAATGCTCACATTCAACCAAACGCTTGACTGGGTCCAGGCAGAGCTAGAAGCAGTTTACATGTGTGTTTTTGGAACAGGCATGCCACCAGAAAAGAAGAACACAATCAACAACAACAAATAAAATAAAACTGAAAGAGCACAGCAACAGAAATCGGCAACCCTATGCTTATAAGCAGCAAGGACACAAGTCAGCAAAGCTCAGCTTGCGTCCAGTGACACAAACACAGAACACAAAGATGAAAAGCATTTGTCCTCCTTGTGGGCAGAGGACCTCTCATTCCTCAGCAAACCGAGATGCTGAAACCACTCTCCAGCAGTGCAGGCTGGAAACCCAGCTGAGGGGAGCAGGACGGCAGATACACAGGAGCCGAAATGGGGCAGAGGGCTCTAGCATTCCCAGGGGGAAGAGAAAGCCCTGTTGGGTTTTCGCATTCACTAAAGCGATCATGTTAAATTAAAGGTGAGGTGATGTATTTAAAGAAAATATATTTTATTATAAATTGCTTATATAAATGTATTTTAGAACTGTAAGAAGATGAAGGAAATAAAAACCTTTCTGATCTCATGACCCAGATGTAACTGTCACTAATATTTTAACACCTCTATGTCTGTCTGTCTGTCTTTCTCTCTCTTTCTCTCTCTTCTTTTTCTCTCCTACTTTGAGTCCCTCATAAAACTGAGATCTTATTGTAAATATAATTTGTAAGTCATTCTTCTGCTTTCCTGTGCCATTAAATGTTCCTTGAAGACAGTAAAATTCAGCGATGCCAAACACTAGCCTCAGGAATGGAAAATATAGAATGAAGAAAACAGAATTTCCTAAACAAATGAGGGGAGGCATGTTGGGGTCACCTAGGCCTCCAGGTCACAGTCGCTGTGGAAGGGTTCACAGCTCTGGCTGCTCCTCTTTGTGCAGACTCTGCCGGTCGCACTCTCTCTCCTCTGAAACCGTGTCTTCCCAGTGTAAGCGCTGCACACTGAGTTCTCATTTGTTGAAATGCAAGAGCAAGGCAGACCCCATTTTTAAATCTTGGTCCTGCCATCCTCCCCCTTACACTGTGCCCAGGGGCTCTGTTCACCCCTGGTCCATCTGGCCCGGCCTCTGGGGAACACTTGGCCTGCAGCTCCTCCACCTCATGCAGGAGGAGACTTCCCCACTGCCACCCTGGACACTCATGCTCACCTCGGCCACAATTCAAGCACACACAGGCACCAGGCATGGCATCGGACGTTGCTTTGCCTGTGCGTCCAGCACCTGCTTCAGCCCCATCGCCTGGGGCAGCCTGCTGGAGGCCTCAGCCCAGGTCACAGCCCATACAGTGTCCCTTTGTCCACAACCAAGGATGATTCCATAACCTGGAAGGGCCAGTGTCTTCCTCCTCCTCTGCTGGCATTCTCTAGCTCTCATGCTTTGTTTAGTCATAGATAAAGGTTAAAAAAAAAAAAAGCAAATCACTATAATTGAGCTCAGGACCTTATCACTCTGCTACATCCCCAGTAATGTTTGGTTTTTTTGTTTGGTTGGGTTTTTTGTTTTGTTTTGTTTTGTTTTGTCTTGCTAAATTGCTCAAGTGCCCAACTGGGTGATCCTCCTACCTCAGCCTCTCAGAATGCTGGGATTACAGGACTGCATCACCACCCTCGAGAATCACACTTCATTTTGTCCATTTCTTGCACCAGTTCTGTTCACCTGTCCCTCAAGCTCTAATAGACACACAAAACAGCACAGCTACAGCTTCTGTCTCTCAGTCCTCAGTCCTAGACATACAAGGTATCAGCCGTGGGGATGACACCCCAAGGTATCATCATGCCTTGAGAAAATGTTGTTAAACTAAAACAACCATACAAAGCGATAAATGGCCTGGAAAGATTATTTACAAGAGAATTTATCTGTGCGTACACTTAATCCATGGCCAATACTGATGGGCTAATATGAATGTTCACAAGGAAATCAGGCCATCAATCCAAAAATTAAAATCACCTGACACACAACAATTGCTAACAAATGCAAACCACAGGAAAGAATTTGGATGATATAATAAGTGCCCTTCTGTCAATGCTGTAGTAAAATACAAGTATAGATGCATTCTGTGGATGGAGCCAAAGGCACAATACTGAACATTTAAGATACCTGTGTGCAAGGGTAGATTCGCACAAGAAATTTGAAAAAAATATCCCAATTTGTGTAAAGGGCAATATTATTCAAACACTGTAAAATCTTAATGCTTTCCTTTTATTATTACCACCAATTTAGATGTACACAGATTGGTGAGTTAGAGCATAATAGAAATTATCCTGTGCAATAGTTATGTAGTTACTGCTGTAGCAGTATCAGGCATCCTAACCACATCTCAGGAGGACAGACGTGCGGAGAAGTGTTCAGTTACCAGAGAGACACAGAAATAGTTTAGCATCACTCAGGATATTCACAGAGACAGCAATTTAGTCTCACTCCATGCCAACATCAGCGGTAAAGGGCCCTCTTTGCCACGGACTGCCCACCTAATACTTTTGATGTCCTATAATAATCTGCACACATTCAAGATTTCTGGGCTGGGGATGTAGCTCAGCAGCACAGCACCTCCTGGCAAGAGTGAGGTTGTGCATCCAATCCTCTATCAAAAAAAAAAAAAAAAAGAGATTTCTTCAAAGTCTAAGTATTTTTTCTCTTCATGAAGTTATTTCTTCTATTCATCTATTTTTTTTTTTTTTTTTTTTGAGACAGGGTCTCACTATGTAGTTCAGGGTAGCCTTGAACTCACTGAGTGGCCCAGGCTGAGCTCAAACTCAAGGTGATCTTCCTGCCTGCCAAGTGCTGCAATTACAGGTATGTGCCACCATGCCCAGTAAAAATTAATTCTCATGTATCAGGGCTTTGCTTCCTCTAAAATTTACTGCACACAGTAAACACAATAGCAGAATTCTTGCTCATCATAGAAAAGCAGCCTTTCCGCTTATAGTTAGGAAAGTCAGGTTCTTGGGTAAAATGCTGGCAGGATGATACATGCTCTTGGAACACGCCTTCCTAATAGAGCACCTGGTGCTCAGCTGTCTGCAGTCCCCACGCTCACTGTCCCACTCTTCCTTGCTTCGTCTAACTCAGCTCTGCAGCAGCATCCAATAGGAACCATTCTCAAAATTATCAGTGATCACAGTGATGACCATTGTTATACAGTCATTCACTTGATGTCTTAGTAATTTTAAGCGCTTCTCTTTCCCTCCCTCTCTTTTGGCCCCTCTCCACTTCACTTTTTGGTGTCAGCAGCAGCTTCCTCTAAGTCTCCTTGGCCAGCCTATTATCTCTTCCTCAACTTGTGTCAAACCACCCAGAGCAGCATCATGTGTTTGCTTCCTTATCTATACATTCTGTGCAGATGATCTCAGCAAGTCCATCATTTGGAAACTGTCAGTGGACCAGTAATTCCCTAATATATTTCTCTAGTCTTGGTATCGTCACAGATTTCTCAGACATATATATTTATCTAGTTGCCAACTTTTGCATCTCACCTTGGATGTCTACTAGAAATCTTAACCTAAACATGGCCAAGAAACACCCTAAGCTGCCCATCCCACATATTTCTTACTCCAGGGAATGTCAACAC